GAGAAAATCAGAATGTGGGCCACCCTGTAAAACCTGGTCTCTCTAGGTCATTGTCAGGAAGGGCAAAGTAGCAGCATCGCCTATTTTAAACAGTAAAACTGCTTGGTCCAGTTCTGTTCCATTTCTCTGCCTCCTTCATGGCAAACTACTTGGAAGAGCTATCTACACACACCTGCTGCCTCCGATTCTTCTTCCTCATTCTCCACCCCAGTCTGACTTTTGCCCCCACTCCATCTTTGACACTGCTCTTACCAGGATCACCCCTGACCTCCCTTATGCTAAATGCACCACTCAGTTCTCTGTTCCCTCACACTGCAGAATCTGGCATGGCTGACAGCTCCTTTCTCCCTTCTGTGCGGGCATCACTTGGTTTTCAGTTCACCGTGTTCTCCTGGCTTTGCCTGCTCTGGCCGGCTCTCATTCTCAGTCTCCTTTGTAAGTTTCTAACTGCAGAGGAGAGTCTGAGACAGACTTCTCCTCGACATCTCACTCAGCTTTCTACTAGTCAAAATAACTGAACTGGAATCCTGGTGTCTCTCTTACCCACACTTCCCTGCCCATGCCCGCTGACAATGTCCACATTCTCCCAAATGTTCAAGGCAAAACTGGCCTGTGCCTCAATGACCCCCATTGACCTGTGGGGCTCTCATCTCCAGCCTCCGTCTGTCAGCACCCGTTGGCGCCACAATGTCACTTCATGTTATCACTTCCACTGTTCTCCCGTCCCCAACCCCCCCGACTGGCCACCATCACATCTCATAGCACCCACCCCTTGTTGAGAATGACTCTGTGGAGATACAAATAAGCCAGATGTGTCACTCTTCTACCCAGGCTCCTCACTCAGTCGCTTCTCAGCTCACGTGGGGTGAAAGCCAGAGTTGTTAAAATGGCCTGCCAAGTCCCAACATGATTGGGTAGCCTAGTGCCCTCTCTAAGGTCAGCTCCACTAGTTTTACTCTTACTACACTGATGTCCTTCTTGTCCTTGAACATTTCAGATAGGCTTTTCCTGTAGCTCTCTCCTGACTCACCCCTTCACTGTCTTAAGTCTTTATCCCAATGCTGTCTTTTCAGTGAGGCCTGCTTAGACCTCCTTTTTACAGTTGTACCCTACCCCTGCACCTGTCCCTCCTCATCCCCTTTTTCCATTTTAACTCTCTCTCTCTCTAGCTACAGCTACCTGATCAGAGTATGAGCCATCCTCCTGGTGTACCTGAACTGTCCCAGTTACCATTGAACACCCACATCCTGAGAAATCCTGCCATCCCAGGCTAACTGAGGCCATTGGTCACCTGACTGGTAGACTATAATCTTACTTACTTATTGTTGGTATAATAAAAATATGTTTCGGGCCCTCCCTGGTGGCGCAGCGGGTTAAAGCACTGCACTAAGAAGCCTAAGCCACTTCAGCATGAGTTCGATCCCCGCCTGCCCAGGAGGAGATCCACATGGCGTGGCAGACCTCTCCTGACCCGCCCGCTGCTCCCCTCAGCAGTGTACTTCGTAGATCTGCCTGTTCTGCTCCCCACTCTGTCCCTGGTGAATCCTCTCACCCTCCGCATCTCTGGCCTATACCCCAGCTCTGTATGAATAAATAAATAAATGTTTCTCGGGCCCCCCCTGGTGTGCAGGCTAAGTTAAAGTCTCAGCACTATCCAGCTATTGCCAGCCACTGTGGCATGAGTTCAATCCCTGGCCAGGGAGCTGAGCCACATGGTGCAGCAGACCTCTCCTGTCTCACCTGCTGCTCCCCTCAGCAGTGTGTTTCATTAGATCTGCTTGTTCTGCTCTCTACTCTGTCTCTGGTGAATCCTTTCATACCCTCTCCCCCACACCTCTGGCCTATACACTAGCTCTTGTATGCATAAATAAATAAAAAGAACTCTTTAAAAAAGCCAAAATATAATAAGAAGTAGAATCTATAGAAACAGTCAGACAGCAGTCAATAAGTGCCTTAACGTAGTAAATGTAAGCCAGTTCAGTCGTTCTAGCCCCCGTCCTACGCCTTTCCCTTCCTCCCCATAGACCCTCAAGCACCAAGGAACCCCAGGTTCTCAGTCTTGTCCTGTCTGCTGCTCAAGAGGCTACACCTCTGGCAGTTCCTATGTGCAAAGATACTCTTGTGGTTCAGAGGTTGGCTTTCTGAGTGGCAGTAGAAAACCCTATTTGGTCACTCACAAATTTTCAATATTTAATGAATAACTAGAGAGCCAATGATGTGTTAGGTCCAATGAATAACTGGGGAGCTACGATGTGTTAGGACCATATGGTAAATAATAAATATATGCTGAAAAAAATACATGAATGAATCTCCTGTAAATGTATAGGCGATTAAAAGAGCTGTACGAATATGAACCTCATTAGCATACTAATTGCTGATTCCCATTTGGTACTATCCATATTCTTTTTCCCCCCTAAGATTATTCATTTATGTTGAATAGAAGGGCTGAGGTGTAGGCCAGAAGTGTGAGGACAGAGAGAGAGACAGAGTGGGGAGCAGAACAGGCAGATCTATAGAAATACACTGCTGAGGGGAGCAGTGGGCGAGACAAGGAGAGGGCTGCTGCGCCATGTGGGTCAGCTCCACGGCGGGGATTGAACTCAGGCTGTCATGGTGGGCCTCTGTGGTGGTCGTGCTGAGATTTAACCCCTAGGCCACCAGAGAGGCCCCATATTCTTATTTTAAATTTTGTATTTGTGACAAAAATGCATATTACACATAGTGTCACATACAACACCTGTCTAGCATGTCCCGCCTAGGGAACTGTGCACTGCTTCACCACAGACCGTCTGACGGACCTTCCCCCAAGGCGCTGATGGCTCAGCCCGCAGCCCCACGTGGCACGTCGGCCTCTTTTCCTCCCCCTTAAGTTATGCAGCCCCCACCACTTCAGGAGTAAGCTAGTTGGAAAAGTTGGGCTCTGAGCTCTACATAGCTGTAATGACTACAGATCTCAAAATTTCAAGAGAAAAAAAATCTAGTAAATAATTCAAATTAAAAAAATAAAAAGCTTTCTGAGGTCCAATGGGGTCTTTTCAAGAGGTACGGGTAGTTCTGGAAGGTACCTGAAGAGCAGACAAGGGAAGGAGATGGGGACAAACATGTCCTATTCCCGGGGAGCTCAGCCCTTAACAACAAAATTGAGTGGCCGGGAGGCAATTAAAGAGAACACAAAGACTCTAACCAGTGAAAGCCTGTGAGGACAGGACGAGAAAACAATCTGAGGCGCTGGGGGAAGGGACAGATGGCTCTGTGTCCACTTCTTCAGGGCAAATCAGTGTCTGATCCGGCCCGGGTTGCACAAATCACTTTCTCAATTAAGCCCAGAGGCCAGAAGCTGCCCCTCACTATAATGAGGCTCCTGAAGTAGGATTTGGGGTCCCAGAAAATCTACCTGGTGATCTAAGTATCACATCTCTGGACAGTTTCTGTTTTGGTCCTTTCTTCCATGCACCATCCCTTATATGAGTGCTGCCCACTACCTGAATTAGATTCAGGAGAAGACAGTAAGACACAACCACTGGCTGTTCCTCTTGCCCAGGGAAAAGCTCCCTTCCCTCTGGAGCTCTGCAACACGTTGGAGTCACCTGGGGAGCATGAGACACTACCCAGCCTAGTGTGGCATGGGCACTGGGGTGTTTTAAATCTCCTTGGGTGTCTTCAGTGTGCAGCTGGGGAGCGAAGCACTTTTGAGCTACAGTTATTCTTTCGGATAGCTCCCTCCTCGTCCCTTCCCCTGTCTGCTAGGGAAAGAAGTGGCAGGGAAGGTAGATGCTCAGCTGTGGAGGGCTGGAAGGTTACTACCTTGCTCTGTTCGGGTGGGTGGGGGGGGGTAAGAGAGGAGGAACAAATGTCCCATTGCCCCCGGCTCAAAAGTCATAAACACGGCCATTTTAAAGACTGTAGCTAGTAGCAAATAGGAACAAAATATGGAGTTTGAAAATGAGAACAAGTCAAAATCACTTAGACTTGATGAGACACTTAGACTGATGAGAGCTATAAATAGGCTGTCTTTGAAATTCTCAATTTTCTAAGATCAATACAAAAGAAAACTACTACTTCACACAGTTACTTCTCAGTAGAGGTGTATTAGGTTAACCCGGAGGGACTTGAGTTTGCTAAAGTTATTCAGAAACCTGAGCAGTGCACAGGTGTGGCAGAGGAGGGGGCATAATTTCTTTTAACAGGCATATAGTTGCTGACTTATTCTGTATCACCCAGCTGGGACCCTGGCACCCAGTCAGATACAACCCTCGAGTTCGTGAATGGGTGCTGCTTCTGCAGTCCACCCGCAAGAGGCACCCTCCAGCCTGGCCTTAGAGAAGCACATTAGTAAGTTGTGTACAGTCAGATGTTTTTGTCTCAAGAGGTCATTTCTTTCTTTTAAGATTTATTTATGCATACAGAAATGGGGTACAGGCCAGAGGAGCAGGGGCGGTGAGAGGATTCACCTGAGACAGAGTGGGGAGCAGAACAGGATGAATGATGAAGTACACTGCTGAGGGGAGCAGCGGGTGGGTCAGGAGAGGTCTGCTGTGACATGTGGGTCACCTCCTGGGGAGAGGTCAAACTCATGCTGAAGTGCCTTTAGCCTCTGAGTGCTGTGCTTAAACCCACTGCACCACCAGGAAGGGTCCTGTTTTCTTTTTGTTTTTCATTGTTTGTGGAGATAGAACCAAAATTGTGGGAAAGCAGCAAAGATAATGTCTCTGAAATTCTTTTACCAAATCATCTGGATTCTGACTTTCCACAATCATGGCTCAGATTTTGAATACTTTCCCAGCTTTCCAGAATCTTTTATCTAGATGCCTCTGACTACAAGCAAAGCACAATTATTACATTTGTCTTGAGTGTTAGATTTTTACCTGGGCATCATGCACTTTAAGTAGTAAAAGCACTGCCTTGGAAATAAAGACATCTAGCTAAATTTATTTTGAATAAGAACCCCCGCCCCCCAACCTTGCTTTTAAAAATGGGCCTCTGGTTTTTAACAGACTCACTTGCTGATAATGAGTGTTTCCTCTCCGCTTATCCAGACGCGCATGAATTCTCCATACATCTGGTTGTAGTAGTTGCAGGCACTGCCAATGCCCATCCACAGGAACCTGCCATGGGAAATGAGGGGCCCAATCCCCATGCAATAGCCAGGACCTAGGGAAGTCATTAAATCACAGTCAGCATTTTAGTGACACAAAAATAGCAACTGTTCTGAGTTATCACTGCTCTTGTGAATCTCTTTAGAAATGATTAAACAATAAAAAAGACCCAACAAGCTTAACATAAGGCTCTTCACGCCTCCCTGAGTAAAAGTTAATTCAGAATGCACACCACACTTGTTCCATTGGGTCTCAATCTTTCCAGTCTGAATACACCAAGATATATGTCTTGCGATGTTGAACATTGTCAGTAAGCTTCAAATTCAAGCTTTCACATCATCTAACAAAAAGAATGTATACCAGGACAAGTGGCCAGCTGACAGATCTGCTTTTGTTTGGCTGTTTGGCTGCATAGTTTTGTCTGAAAACTCTGGTTTGAAGTGCGGGTTAGAACTAAGAGTGTAGTGTTATTCTTAACTGAGAGACACAGCTGAGTGGCAGTGTCCACCTTCACGTAAGTAGCATCCCCCCCCTCTTTTTTTTTTTTTAAAGATTTACTTATTTATTCATACAGAACTGGGGTACAGGCCAGAGATGTGGAGGGTGAGAGGATTCACCAGGGACAGAGTGGGGAGCAGAACAGGCAGATGGACAAAGTACACTGCTGAGGGAAGCAGTGGGCGGGTCAGGAGAGGTCTGCCACGCCATGTGGATCTCCTCCGGGACAGGCGGGGATGGAACTCATGCAGAAGTGGCTTAAGCTTCTTAGTTCAGTGCTTTAACCCACTGCGCCACCAGAGAGGGCCAACATCCCTTTTTTTTTTTTTTTTTTAAAGGACTCTTTTTAAGAAAAGAATCTTAAGCTAGTTCTCAGTAGGCAAAATAATAAAGGTAAGAACTGAGAACTGAGGAATTAGGCCATGAATCTGGTTAGTGTCCAGCCTGCATTTGAGTCCAGTAATGTAGTTTTACTAGAAAACACTCATGTTCTTGCTTATATAGATGATGGTGTAATTGTAACGATTGTGAAGTCAGTGAAATCCAGTTTCTCCCTACAGTTCAGCATTTACTCAGTGTGCAAGACCCATGTATGTTGGGGACCTGCAGACAGAGACCTGCAAAGAAGCTGGGTGTTTGAGTCAAGGCAGAATCAGAGTTTTGGGTCTTTAGTGACTATTGTCTCAGCTTACTCTCTCCATATCAGAGATCCTCATAGTGGAGAGGCTAGCTCCATGTTAAGGTGGGAGATGGAACAGTAACCACAGCTAGATACCCTGAGAATCCTGGGCAGGAAAGGAGAGTATGTGAAGAACAGATGGTGTTGGGGGGGGGAGCAAAAAAAGCAAATCATTAGAACATTTTTCTTTTACGTTAGTAACTTATATCTTCTCCAGATGAACAGCCAAATACTCTAGGAGGGAAACTCTTTGGTAGCATGTTAGGGAAATGTTTTGGTTGCAACATTAAGTTGTCTGCTTCTCAGATTTGAGAATGCTTATCTAGGCATGCAGTGATTGCTGGAGCCTCTTTCACACCCTAGGAAGAGCAGTAAATACTTCACTGCATTTTTGTGCAGATACAGCCTCCCTGAAGCCAAACAGCTGGGATGCTTCACCAGCTGTGCTAATCAGGAAGCTGTTGCATTCCACACTAGGTATTGAGAAACTTGGGCCCAAGAATGTTCCTACCAATGCTGTTCACAATAGCCCCAAACCGGAGATACCCATTCGTAGTCAACGATAGAATTGGTAATAAAACCACAAGCCATTCATATAACTGAATATCATCTCAACTGCAGCTGCAGTGGGGATGTATCTTAAAACCACAATTCTTAGCAAAAGAGGCAAGCTTAAAGAGTAATGTAGGATTTACTTCTAAAACGTTTAAAACCAGAATTAATTAAACTGTATTGTTTGGGGATATGAAATTAGGTGGTGAAACAATGAAAACGCAGGGAAGTAATTGTCACCAAATCGAAAAGAGTTCACATAAACAGAAGCGAGAGACACATAAATAGAAACGAGAGAAGGAATGGTTGAAAAGGTACAGAGGAATTCTGTGAACACTGCAAACATTCTGTTTGTTGTCAAGGACAGTGATGACATCTTTGTGTACTTTTCCATGTAATATTTACCCTATATGTGCTCTCAGGTTCTTTTACCCCTGTCGCCCTCTTAGAGGGTTTGATACCCAAGCAGAGATGAGGCTCTGGGAGAGCAGTTGTGCGTGGCTGTGTGTCCTTCGGACAGGGGAGCTACCAGGAGCCAGGTAATGGAGGATGGAGGGAGAACAGGGAACTCGGGCCACTGTCTGGGACCTGCAAACTGAAGAAGCCCGGATGGGCCCTTCCTCCTCCAGCCTCCAAGAGTCCTTAGGCTAATTCACCTACAATGTGTGTCATCTTTGCAAACCCCTTCCACACCCACCTCATACATGATAGAGCAGGGCCTCTCAGGAAATAGAGATTGAAGAAATTTAGATCTGAGGCCAAGTTCCATCACTTATGTACTGCACTGTGTCTAGCCTCTTTAAATCTCAATTTCTTCCCCTGCAAGATACGCATAAACACATACCAGAGAGGTTCAGAGACAATAGTAATGAAATTGCTTTGTAGATTATAGCTTACTTCAAGGCTTTAAGCCATGCATTATTAACTCCCTTCAGCTTCTACTGACTCTCAGCTTCCCCAAACCTATAAAACTGAGAACTCAGAACTCAGAGACTTGAACTAAGTACTCACTTCCCTCAGATTATTCAAAAGGAATACAGAGGTACTGGTCAGTAAGAGCATCCCTGCAAGACCCAATTTTTTCAGTCCGTTTCCCAGCCAGGACTCAGAGTCTCAGAGTCTGTACCACTATGACCAGAACTCATATTTTCAGAGGGAAGACATGGAACTGGAAGCTCTCTGGGTAGCAAGATGACCACCAAGCTGAGATTTACAATTTCCTGGTTGCTTCCCCCACACAGACACACACCCACATAGCAGGGGAGCTCATAAGCCATTTCCCTTCTCTGTCAAATGAAGAATTGAACTCCATGCTTTCTCAAACTTGTCATAATGGTGTGCTGGCAACGCACATCACAGTCTCATGCTCAGTTTCCCTTTCTGCCAAATGGAGCAGTTGGACTCTTATCTGTGGCTCTCAACTCTAGTTGCCATGAAGTATCACCTGGGAGATTAAAAATAAAGCAATCTGGCCCTCTCTGGTGGCGCAGCGGGTTAAAGCACAGCACTGAGAATCTAAAGCCGCTTCCGCATGAGTTCGATTCCCGCCTGCCCCGGAGGTGACCACATGGCGTGGCAGACCTCTCCTGACCCGCCCGCTGCTCCCCCCAGCAGTGTTCTTTGTCGATCTGCCTGTTCTGCTCCCCAATCTGTCCCTGGTGAATCCTCTCACCCTCCGCATCTCTGGCCTGTACCCCAGTTCTGTATGAATAAATAATCTTAAAAAAAAAAAAAATAAAGCAATCTACATGGGCCTCCCTGGTGGCACAGAGGGTTAAGTTTCAGCACTGTGAAACTATCAGCAGCCACTGCAGCTTTAGTTCCATCCCTGGCCAGGCATCTGACCCACGTGATGCAGCAGACCTCTCCTGTCTTGTCTACTGCTCCCCTCAGCTGTGTATTTCAGTAGATCCGCCTGGTCTGCTCCCACCATCTCTGATGAATCCTCCCACTTGCCATACCTGTGGCCTACACCCAGCTCTTGTATGCATAAGTAATTAAATCTTAAAAGAAAAGAAAAAAAAAACAAACAAACATGATAGGGCTCCCATCTGGGACAGGGCTGAGAACCACCATACCATGTGACCTACACCGGTCAGTGCGTGACAACATGCTGATGTATGATGTACCCGGCCCAGGAGTGGCAGACAGAGTGGACTGCCACTGAGCCCTCTAAAGTGGAGCTCCAGGGATCCAGTTCTCACACTTGTCCCTGGAGACTGATCTCCTTACTCCAGGGTTATGGGGTGTTTCACCACCACTTGCAACATAGACATCTGGGGGGGACTTGTTCAAAAACACCCCAGCATTCATGGATAGTGACCTGGGAGCCTCCTAGGAGCAGGAGAGACCTAGTGGTGGTGGGGAAGGGGTTCGAGTTAAAGACCATGGAAGTGTCTTCCATCAGCCCTATGAAGGAATAGAGAACAAAAATAACTAAAATTTTTAGTTTAAATTTTAGTTTTAAAATTTAAATTGCACATTAAAGTAACCTAAAATTGGGTTCTCCCTGGTGGCACAGTGGGTTAAAGCACTGCACTGAGAAGGTAAAGCCACTTCCGCATGAGTTCGATTCCTGCCTGCCCCGGAGGTGAGCACATGGCGTGGCAGACCTCTCCTGACCCGCCCGCTGCTCCCCTCAGCAGTGTACTTCGTAGATCTGCCTGTTCTGCTCCCCACTCTGTCTCTGGTGAAGCCTCTCACCGCCCCTGAGCCTCTGGCCTGTACCCCAGTTCTGTATGTACAAATAAAATAAATCTTAAAATGAAAAAAAAGAAAAACTTAAGAAAAAAAAAAGTAACCTAAAATTGAAGACCAAGTCAGAGAGAGAGGCAGGTAGTTCTCTGGAAAGTTTTCAAAGATCCAGACTGGGCATTTTTTTCTTATCAGCTCCACTCTCTCCCCCACCGCCATGCTGTGAATGGGCCCACCAGAGTTAAAGTGTATAATGACTATGTTCTTGAAATAAAGCCTTATGGGACCTCTTATGGGACTGGGCACAGAAACCTGGCCTGAGGAATTAAAATTGAAACTAAACTACAAGAAACTAAAGAAACAGTCTGATATTTCTGATAATTCTGAATTAGTCTGATAGTGGTAGAGTGGCATGTGATTTCTATTGAAATTATCTGTATGATTCTATTATATTCTACTTTTTTTTCGCCCACAGACCACACTGAAAATCCTGTCGGGGGGTGATATTCTAAGGGAAGCTTAGCGGTCCCCCTTTTTCTTCCACATCCAGCCCTTGTGGTTGTATAACATTCCCTCAAGAATAAAAGAAAAGAGTAGAGTAAGGACAATTGGTTTAAGCTCAAGAAAGGGATCAGGCATGAATCAGGAAACATGGAAGGGAAAAGAAAAGGAATATAGAAGGCATCTCAGAGACATTCTCACTTTCAGAGAAAAATTGAAATGAGTCAGAAGAAGAAGAATAAAGTCCACCTGGAATTTCACCTTACTCCACCCCACCCCACACCACTTTAAAAGGTAGTTGTGTCAAGTCTACCAGAGTGAGATGCAGATTTGAAGGAATTCTCTAAGCTAGTTTTAAAATACTCTCATTTACAGTAGGCAGATAACTGGTATAAAAATTTCTATTTGAGCAAATGCGAAATTGCCATTGCAATGTTACTCTTCATGCTCGGGGACCAGATGCATACATCAGCAACCTCCTAGGACTAAAGACTGACTCACCTGGTATTGAGGATGTGCCCTCGTAATTCCAGACCAGGATAAGGAAGCCAGTGAGCAGCAGGATGGGCATGGTGGCCACCGGCATGGCTTCAGTCACCATGCTGGTGATGTTATAGTGAGTTAGAGTCAGCATTTCCAGAACTATCTTGTAATCTTGGATTCCAGGGAAAGAAATCTCAAGTCCTGTAGAAATCAAAGGGGCAGAAAAAAATGAGAGCATCCTCATCAGAGACTCCTGTTGCTTCAGAGGATGCTAACTGTAGAGATTGGTGCTTTATTTTATAATGTGATTGGCCACATGGCCAAGACAAATTTGCGGTTACAAGTCAAAACAAGCAAGCCCAAGAGAAATCTTTTGGCCTGAATTGCAGCATTTCTGACCTTGGTAGAGTCTCAGGTTCGTTTAGACGCTTGGTCTGATAGAACGTTATCATCTTGCCCTTGAGTGGGTAGAGTGACTAAATTCCCAATTAAGAGCCAAATTTCTTACCAAAATACAAGAAAACGAAGCACATTCCAGAGGTGGAGTCACTTCATGACTTCATCAGAATATTTTGTTTAGGCAATTTTTTTCCCCTGAAGCCAAATCAATTAAAAAAAAAAAAAGCCATCCCCAACCAGCTTCCTTGCTCAAAATTACTTCCTTCAAAATAATAAGCTTCTCTAGCAAGGTGTTCTTTGTGCATTGTTGAGTCATTCTCAGCCTCCCATTAGGGTGTCTACTGAGCTCAATGCAACTCACCCAGGACATTATTATTATTATTATTAATGAGATTCTAAAATCTTTTGGACTTGGGCTGGAGTAAGCGGTGTCCATGGGAGTCAACGTCAGGAGTAGTAAGAACAAAGATCAGGGGAAGAATGATAGAGGGAGAAGAGAAAAGAGAGGAGTGGGGAAGGCCCAGGGAAGAGAGGACAGAGAATGCCTGCAACAGCAGCTCAGGGGCCTCTGGCAGCTTCACTCCCCACAAGAGCAACCTCCCGCAGAGAAGCAATTTCAGGTTGATTTGCTGGTTTTGGTTACATTTTTCCCCACCATGTATCATTGAGTCTGTTTTTTCAGTAAGGCTGTGTAGTGCCTACACCTCACAGGAGAGTTTCAGGGATGGTGTTGGTTGAAGAGACCTAGATGGAAACAACTTGTAAACTGAGCAGAGAGCAGCCATTGAGTGCGGTGGCAGATGACTTACCCCCCCCCCCACCCGGTGCCCCAAAACAAACTTTGCCTGGGTCTTACTTGGTACTGGGATCCATTTGGGGAAACTACAGAAATTTTACAGTGTATTGAATTCACACAGTTGCCTGATTTGCTCTACTGGTCTACCAATGTGAGTAACTATGAACAGTTGAGTTCAAGGCACTGAAAATGCCTGATCCTTAGGCAGTAAATGTATATACATACAAAATGCAGTTTTTAATACATAAAGTTTGAAGCAGACGTGTCATCACTGTGTCTTTTTATCATCTACCTCCTAGTTATTCTAATGAGGAACTGCTGCTTTGAACAGGTTGAGCTGAATGAGTTCTTTGTGGCCCTGATGGAAAGGACCCCCAAGGGTCCTGCTTATGTTGGTGAAACCTGCAACCAGTGTTAAAAGCATGAATGAGGAAAGTGATGAAGGAAGATGTTCCAGAGGAAGTTATGCCAACAGGAAACTTCCCACCAAACATTTCACAACATTGAAAAACACAAAGGAGAAAATACTGGAAGTTTATGCATCTATATGAAGGCACATGACCTCCCTTGACAGCACAGCGAAGGCAGTGTTTCTGAAAGGTAAGTTAAGACACTGGCCATGACCTTAAATACTTGAGGAATTTTTCAAAGAAAGAAAAAACACTTAGGGCCTCCCTGTTGGAACAAAGGCTTTAGCCTCAGCACTGTGAAGATACGGGCAGCAGACCTCTCCTGTCTCATCCGCCGCCCCCCTCAGCAGTGTGTTTCAGTACATCCACCTGTTGTACTCCCCACTCTGTCTCTGGTGTATCCTCTCACAAACACAACCCCCTCCACCCCACCCCGCACCCACACCCCCACACACTGGATATCCAGCATACACCCCAGCTCTTGTATACATAATTAAATAATCTTAAAAAGGAAACACTTAAAGAGTTTCAGTGTTTCAAATTTTGGTATATTAAATTACCTCTTTTGAAAACAATCTGTTATAATTAAAACAGCAAGAAAGGGTTTAGTGTTTTGAAAAACATTTTAAAGCTCTCATGAAGCAGTTGTAACTTTCCTCTTGATTTAAAAAATTGCCTTGCAGTTTCACCACAGTGCAAAGTGAAGGCTGCCTGCATGCCTAAATGTTTAAAGGCACTAAAAAGCCTAGTTCCTGATCTTCCTCAGAAATATGTCATAGAGACCCCCAAAAAGCACCCTTTAAGGTCCCAGCGGGATGAGAATTGAACACTTATCAAGATATTTGTGATGTATCGTTGTTTCAAACTTTACAAATATTAAGCGAGTCACCCTATGAGTTAAGTGTGATTATCCGTTTTTTGCAGACGTGCAAACTGTGGTAGGGGTAAGTGGCTTGCCTTAGGAGTCCCAGCGTGCTTGCTGTAGTCCATGTGTTCTGTTGCTGAACCCCCATGTTCTTACTTCTGTCACTTTGCTGCTTTTTATAGGATTCATTTGGCTCCTAAATTTAGGAATGTTTTAGTCATGTATTGACACAAGCTATGCAACCTCTACTGACTGACGTATTCCGGATAGAGACGGAAGTGCTCTGAAAAATCAGACTTTCCACGCTAACTTAAGTTATGAACTCCCTTTTTTGTATTATCATAATATCAAAATATTTTGAGCAACCTTCAGTTTACAATTGGATTGCCTCAGCCTAAGAAAGTCATGTATGTTCATTCTTAGGCTCTTCAGATTCTTCCCTTTAAGGAGATAAGCTACTAAGACTTCTGAGTGCCACAGTCGGAAAGATCTTTGGAGTTAGTCTCTCTTCCTTTTGTTGCTTTTCCTGTTCAGTAGAATGCTCTGATGGGCCACATTCACAGGGTGGAAAAAAAGGCCTTTACTTATGTTAAGAGAATGTAGAAAGGTCCTGGAACTTCGCAGAGGTTGCTTATATATGTTCTGTATCAGGAATACTTTTCTTCACTCACAAATACAACTGTGCAACCCATGGATGGCTTCAGAGTGTCTTCAAAAATCATTTCAGGCCCTCCTTGGTGGCACAGCAGGTTAAAGCACAGCACTAAGAAGCTAAAGCCACCTCAGCATGAGTTCCATCCCTAGCCCTGGAGGTGATCCACATGGTGTAGCAGACCTCTCCTGACCTGCCCACTGCTCCCCTCAGCAATGTAATTCATCAATCTGCCTGTTCTGCTCCCTACTCTGACTCTGGTGAATCCTCTCACTGCCCCTGCACCTCTGGCCTGTACCCCAGTTCTGTATGCCTAAATAAATAAATAGTTTTTAAAAAGCCATTTCAAATGCGCAAGTGGCCAGGTTTGCAGGGTGCTGTCCACTCTTCACTTGCTGGGGCACCCCACTGTAGACCTGGCACCCCACAGGATGTGGGCCACCTGGACCCAGGCTTGTGCTGCTGTGCAGCTTGTGGAGACACAGCATTCAGACACCTTGGCTTAATGCCTCACTAACCTCAGGGTGAGGAAATTCCAGTTTCACTTCGAGTCCCCCGTCTGAACTGAGACAAAGCCCACTGGGGTCATAGCAGACCCCTGGGGACCTAAACGCTGGGAAAGTGCCAGGAGGGATGACCCTTCACACAGTGAAGTACAGAAGTACAGTCTGGCCAGAAGGTCCCAGATCCTACCTTGCAGAAAGGGCCACCCGTCCAGCAGAGAGATGACCTGGCTTTAGAGAGCCAAGTGCAAAACTCTGTCCCTCTTCTTACTCTTTCTACACATCTGGCCCATCCCTCTGTCACACCCATTCCATGAGAGATGAGATCTACCCAGCTAACCTTTTAACCTTCTATTGGGTCCCACATAGGAGGCTGCCTCTGGTGGTTGTTGACAGATCTCACCTCAGCCCTCAGGGACTGATATACTGGATTTTGGATGGAGAAGTGCAGACTTATTGAAGGGTTGCGCAAGGGAGTATGAACTTCCAGTTCAAGGCAGGAAGGCTTGTTGATAGGGAGCTGCTGAGTGGTACTGGGGATTGTAGTAGTAGAAGTTGGCAGGGAGTAAACATGAAACCAAGCAGAAAAGATGAGCAAGGGACAGAAAGGAGACTAGTGACCCAGGGCTCAGGCAGTGTGTGGGGTGCACTGGGCTGGAAATGGTGAGAGAAAGACATGCAAAGTCCTTAGGGCACATTTGTCCTCACAGAAATGAGAAGCCACTGACAGACAAAGCAAGAGGTCGGTCAATAAAATCACATTTGCATTTTGAAAACTGAAATCTCTCTAGCTGTGCTGAAAACAAATGATGGGGAATGGTGTTGGGAGTGGAAGAAGAGCTGAGAGGCCTCTGGACCTTGTCAGGCGTAAGAGGGGAAACTTCAAGTCCCAGGGCAGACAGCAGCCTATGCACATGGGCCTCTGTTCCTTTGTCACTGTCTTTGTCTCTGAAGCCCCAAGCGCCTAGTGAACGTCACCACTACACCTCATTGATTTAGTCTAAAGCCCAACCCATTGGCTTCCTCCTCCTTCCATGCCACCCTCCTCACATCTTTTTTCCCCTGCCATTCCACTTCAAACTCTTGTTATCAAGTCAACTTCTTGCCCTTGCATTCTTATCCAGACCCACCCCCCACCCCAGTCACAGAGCTTTGGGGTAGTCCTTAAACATGTTTGGTCCTTAAAGTTAGTTTCCTGAATTTTTTTTCTCTCTCTCTCTTTTTTAGTTCTCTGAATTTTCTTTACCTTCTGGTCCACATCATAATTTTCCTCACAGTCCTTTACAGGATACTGTGCTCTGTCTGTGATCAAAGCAATTTCTCAGTGGTCAGCAGAGGGCAAATTCAAATCTGCCTTCTAGATGCTGGTGCCCGAATCACCTCAAACTCTTGAATATCCATTGTTTTCAGGAGTTATAAAACTTTTGTTTCACAATACAGTTTCAAAATTCACACACACAAAAAAATCCAGTGGATGCTCGGTCCTCTTGGTAGTCCCAAGCTTTGATTCCTGCAGGGGCTGCCGG